AATTCACTTATACTGTTCAATATTACAAAGGTCTCCTTTTAGGCATAAAATTGTAATGTTAGGCCTTCTGGCGTTGGAGATCTGGAGGGGCAACCATTTTGCATTATGGAATGTGTAAAAGGGCAAGTTAATTAAGCCATATTTTACATTATGTTCTTACTAGATAAATTAACGCTTTGATTAAAAGCAATATTGTAAGATACAGTCGGGCAGATTAGCCATCATATGGTGGAGGGAGGGCAGAACCTACACAGCTCATCTGGGTCTTAAATCTGATCTTTGCGTAACACAGTTTTCTTATCTCCCGCCTGGGCGACCAGGCTGAGGCCCTGAGGTCTGACCCAAGCCTCAGATACCTGAGCTCCCGTTGCATTTGGCTCCTCCCAAAGCTCACACTGAAACAGTCATTGCGTTTGTTCATATTGGGAGGTTTAATGAATCACACATCCTCCGCCTTCCCATGAATATATTCACTGCTTAAGAAATGCACACAGAAATAGAGAGCAGTACGAACATCTCAGGTGGGATGCATTATTTCACCAGTGCCTGCAAGGCCTGGCAGCACAATAGTCAGCTTTCATCCTAAGACCATAAGGCGTCCAGTTTCGGGACCCCTTGTGGGACTCGGTTCATCCGGCACATTTTGGATTATATTTATGATGATGAAAATGGCTTGATTTAAATATGTCTGAAAAGAGGAGACCTTCCAAGGTTTGTGGGACAGCTGAAGGGCCCAGCATAGCTCATATATTATCTCAATACTACTTACCACAGGGGGGGTAAGTGGCCCAGCAGGCTAAGCCTCCGTGCCTGTGGTCAGAAGGTCGGTGGTTCAAGCCCAGCCTTGGCAAAGTGGTCATGGTGCAGGCCCTAGAGCAAGGGCCTTAATCCTACCACACAGAGACCGGTGCTACACATGTGTGAATCCATCATTTATTGTGGCAAGTGATGTCTTAATGGTTAGGATATGAAACACACATGTAATTAAAAGATTGCAGGTTTGAATCCCTGACCAGCAAGGCACCACTGAGGTACCCTGAGCAAGGTACCGCCCCCCGGGTGCCAAATTAGCTGCCCCCTGCTATGTCACAATGTCATAAATGGGTTAAATGCAGAGTGTGCTGTGGTGTGTCAAGAATGATCACTGATCACCAAATTCTAAATTATTCAAAGGTAAGTTTCTGGAAGAAAATCGAGACCAGAAAACCATAAAAACTAGCAAAAAAAAAAAAAATCCTTTTAACAAAACATTTAGAAAACCCCCAGAAACCACGATGAGCATGACAGCATTGTTAAAATACTGTGTGCATATGGCTGCCTTTTCATAGCACCCACACAATCGTGGAATATTCTGAGCAGCATTCGCACGTGCATTATCGACCGTGCAAAGGGGAACAGCAGAGAAGACAAACAGGTCTGCCACACTGCCATGGTATTGATTTACTTCACTATAGTTTATCGTCTTCATTGAATATAAATCATAGATTTGCTATAACTTACGGTACAATTCTTTGAAAATGACCAGGTGTTTCAGCAGATAACGAGCAGCGATGCTGTTTTAGCACGTGATTGTGATTGTATGTGTTGGTTCATGCATGCTGGATGTTTTACTCTGTGCCTTCGCTATGCTAATATTGGGAATTATAGCCGAAATTATATGCTTAAAAATACTCCACTTGGCAAAGAGCTTTCAGCCATATGTGACTTGAGAAGGGCAGGCTGTTTGCTTCTTTCCTGAGAAGTTGTGTCAAGCTCAGAAAATACAAGGTGGTTGCACAGGATTGAAATTTACTTATTACTTTATCAGTCAAACTGAGAATTGGTAGTCAGCATTTATTTACTAGAGGAATGTCTTTAGGAAGTCTAAATACGTCTTGCAGAACTACTTGATATTGTTCTGCCTAACCTCAGTGTTGACCTTTCAGTAATGGGAAGATTATTTGTATAAAGTATGTAGTGGATGAAAGAAAACAGGTATTTCAAAGTAGAACAATCAATCCATCAATGGTCAAGCTGCGTATCCCATACAAGGTCGTGGGGTGAACAGAATAGTATTGGGGTAAATAAAAAAGAAATATTAACAATTGAGAATGCTATTGAACCCTATACATAAACCTCCAAGACAGTGGAATTTAAGAAACACACCAGGGCTATTGAGGTTGTGAATGGAGACAATATTGAAAATACCAGTGATATTTTAATGAAACCACTACCTAGACGTTTCGCTTCATGCTCCTTCCTGTGATGCCAGTTCTGTTTATGGGTTATGTAATCATTTATGTGCAGGGATATGTAACCCCTGTTTATCACGACATCACCGTTCAGCTTACATCATCGATGCTGACTTCATCGAGGTTTGATAGGACCCTCGGGGATAATGAGAGATGACCATCATCCTTTGCAAAGAACATCGTACCTCCAAATCTTACACATTTACCTTGTATAACATCAGGGTGATCTGACCTTATCTATCGATATATGCAGCTCAGCTTCTAGTGCAGGCACTTGTCATGTCACACCTTGTCTACTGCCCCCCCCCCTTACTGACAGGGCTACCAGCTTGTCCTATCACATTTCTGCAGGTGATTCAAAATGCATCAGCATGTCTGGTATTCAATCAGCCAAAATGTACGTGCTCCTGTTTACACCTCTCCTTGTCACTCCTGGCTCCTGACAGGCGTTTGCATGTCCAAGTCCTTGGTGCTGGCTATCTGAGCTGCTAATGGAATGGCATCTGCCTACATTGACTTGCACACCAGTACCTACATTCCATCTCACCCTCTACGGTCAGCACCACTCCACCGCATGAAAACAAGTCAAGCATCTGATCAGCAGCATCCGATCAGCAGCATCCGATCAGCAGCATCCCTCATCCAAGACCAATCTCGTCATCGTTTCATTGATGGTTTCATTGCCATTTTTAGAAAAACTTTTCTTGTATTTTGCATTTATCTAGTAGGGGAAAAGTCCTTATGTTTTAATTGGTTTTGCTTTTCTGAAGGTACGTTCCAGTGATATTTTGAAGATCTCCTGCACCAGTACCAGTTTGTACATGCTACTGGTCGCCCATTGGAACCCCCAATGCTAAAGGTGGTCCCTGTTACTGACGTGCTTGTGATGTGGTGTCCACAAAACTTGTATGTCACTTTGGACAAAGGCATTTGATAAATGAATGAGCATGAATGTAAATGTAGTAACTGTCTCTTTGTCTTTTGACTGTGCTTATGATGTGAAAAGCACAAGGAATATGAAGGAGATCTTTCATTAAAAAAAAATATATATAGCAAGTGATTTTGTGATGTGTTAAAATATTCAGCTGCCCATGCAGAGCACCTAGAGAGGGTCAGGCCGTTCTGATATCTGCACCAAGCAGGACCTCTAGAATCATTCCATAATTTCTTTATAGATGTTGTTTCTCCCCACAGCAACTGAAAATCCTGCCATTTTACATGTCATTTCATACAACCTGACATTTCGACTGTATAAATTCTAAATAATTTCTAGGTAAGGGGCAGACTATCAGGTTCTCTCCTGGGACATTAGCTAGTCACTGTTCATCATGCGCCTGGATCATTCACCGCTATCTGCTGCACTGACAGTGGTGAGGCACTGAGGTCCATCTCCGCATTTTTATACATGACATTCACATCTTCTCCTTTCCCAATCAGGCTGTACGGCTGACTTTCCGCCACTAGATGCAGACAATTTCTTATCTCAAATCATAATGAGGGGGGTATTCATGTGTCGCTAGATGGAATTCCTCCAGGCAAAAAGCAAATGTAAAGATACAATACATCAATTAAAAAAAAAAAAACTGCAGAGAAAATGCACACAAGTTTACTCTGCACCATCACTACCACAGTGCGTCGGATCTCTGGGGCGAAACAGCACCCACTACAGGACAGAATGCAGCATGTTGATAAGTATTTGAAGGTCAAAATATTAGTTATTAAAAACATATTTGAACAAATTAATACAATGATACTCAAGCCATGGAAAATTGCTTTTCCATGCGACCGGACCTCACCATGGAAAACATTCCTCCGCACAAAACACATATTTTTAAATGTTAAAAATCATAACATAGAACAGACTCACCTTATCGTTCAGTTTAACTGGAGCAAGGGAAAATAACTACCCCTCTGTCCCAATCTGTGCTATCTGACCTGTGAACTTTGTCTCAATCACTAATGAACATCCGTAGTAACAGAACGTGCCAGGACCATGGCACACAGTCATCATAATAAAAGGGCTTAATTAGCGGTCCTGTTCCTTAATCTGACCTCAAGAGGGTCCGTGTTTTGATAATTAATAAAGCAAATAGTGGCTGGTTTATCTTTTTTCCACGTTTTAAATTTTTTCCTTTAAATTAAAACACACAAATGCAAATATATGTGCGTGAAACGTGCACCTGTGCCTACTTCACCCATCTCGGTGCTGCCAAAGTTTACGGTTGATATTTGCAAAACGTGACTTTTTTTCCCTATAAAGAGGGCACCTCACTGCGGCGATTTGGCTTGAACTTTCCGCCTCTTTGAAACTGCCTTTTAACCATATCGACAATCGCAACCCTGCAGTACGTGGTTATAATTACTGACATGCCAACGGAAACAACCAGCAGTCACCTTCGGGGGAGACTTTCAGATGAAATCAGGTCGTAAATACATCATCAGTTGTCCGATTAAAGAACCATTTAGTGAAAGCATTCCTTTGAGCTTTAATTATGAATAATTTTCACTTTGCCTTGTCATGGGATGCCGCAGCGGGTAAAGTTATTGGTCCTAAACATATCAAACTCATTCTGTCAATCCTTACCTTTAAAAAATTCCGCTGGGTTTTTAATTCAAGAAAAAATATGGAAAATATATTTATTTTTCTGAAATAATGCAGATAAAATTCTGGCTTACTACAAGAACACATCTCTCAGAATAATAAATATGAACGAATGGAATTAAAAATTAGAAATTGAAAATGAATGAGAACAGAAGCAGAGAGCTTACCGCAAACTGGCGATCTTCCCCAAACTTCTGCAGTACCTTCAGTGTTACTTTCAGGGAGGCAGAAAAACGTGCTTCGGGGTGTTTTTTGTTTTTTTGGCAGTTCTGTTAACTCCTCCCTTCCATCCTAATGATGTGCTTCCTTCAGTGCTGGTGCACCTTTGGTTTTTCTTGCTTCTGGTCGTCTCACACAGACATTTATCGGAATCTTTAGCGTAATCGTCTGTCAGTGGAAACTACGGCAAAGCCATACATACTGTATACAGTCTTATACACTCTTTGCCCACCGGCCCCAACGGTGCTTCACTGCTGCATTTTCCAGCACTGCTGCCTCATTGGCTGAGCTGCTGTCCAATAGAATAAGGCTATAGCTCTAATTGGGAGGGGCCCCTGTTTTCTGGCGCATCGCAGATGTTATAGCGGTTCCGCACAGCGTCTCTTCTCCGTTAGATATTCCTTTGCCTTTTCTTTTTTTTTCCCTGGAGCCTGCCTGTTGTGAGGAATGCTGAACATAGCAAAACTGATTCAAAGAGGAAGCAGGGGGTGGGAGGTTTCAGGAGAGCATGGAGGGATGGAGGGAGATAGGGGGGCAGCAAATCAATGCACATACTGCTGTGCTGGACACAGAGGGCCAGAGTGGGGAAGGGGTGGGCTGAATCATTTCCACTCTGCAGGCTGTACCTTGTCACGCCTCGTGTGCTGTGTGTGTGTGTGTGTGTGGGGGGGGACCCGGATGGTACGTGTGGTTTCTGTATCCACCCCGAGGTAGCTAACGCCTGCAGCTCTGCAGTGGCTGCAGTCACGCTGAACAGGGTAGCGAGTGTCCATTTTCCAGCATGTGCAGGACTCTCACCTAACTGTACAGTGAATCTGCAGAATGCAGGGGATACTCGGGATTCGACGGCCGTCACACGCTCCCATAGAAGGTCAAACACTGTGGACAATTAAGAGTCGCCAATGCTGAGTGTTTTTGCACTGCGGGAAGAAAGAAGGAGAAACCCTGAGGAAGAAGAACACAAAATGAAAACTATACACCGACCGCCAATGTGAGGCCAGATGTGACTGGGTTACTAAGAGATATGATCAAATATTAATTGGATTATCAGGTCCAATCAGGTCCCAAATAATAGGAAATAGAACACTGACTTCAGGGACGTCTTAGACTGGCTCTGCCCTGCCTTGGTCAGCTGCAGTGTCGATGCCTTCTCTCTGTATCCGTGCCCTAGTTAGTGCCCTAGTTCAGCCACAACACATGGCAAGTCCTTAGCATTAACTGTCCAGTTCCTACTGATCTCAGGGGTCTTTTTACCTCAAGCTCAAAGCCTAGTATGAACCACTGAAAAGCACACGGGGTCTTAAAACAACTTTTCTCTTTTTTTACAGACATTACTTACATTTGGCATCTGACACAATTAATTTACTAATAGTGTACACATTGATGATGCAAGCAATCCTGAAGGAAATCTGGCTGAGTGCTAGTTCAACAGAAAGCGAGAGAGAGAGAGAGAGAGAGAGAGAGAGAGCACTCAGACAAGCCATAAGTTACTATAAATCATGTTTTTTTTTTAAGAAAAATAATTCAGCAGGACCTGACTTAAACTTTCCCAAAATAACTTCCTCCCCTCCCCTCACGTCAATAACCTTAAAGGCCAAGTGGATACATTGAATACACTAAAATCTGAACATCTAACATGAGGAAATGACTGCTAACAATGCAAGCAATTCATTTGGTTTATTGGGATTCAGGATACAAACAGAAATGCAGCTAAAGAGTGCATGTTTACCCTCCAAGGAAAACTCATGGCTAAAAAGGTGAATTAAAAATCCCTAAAACTGGATACATTTCTTTTAATGCCAGATTTCAAGAATGCAGTTACAAATATTCTCACTGATACATGCAATTGTGTCCCAACTGACTCATATTTGCTTACTGTTTGCTGCTCTTGCCTTGCGGTTGTGTTGTCTGTTGCTTGTTTGTTAGCACATGTTTTACATTGTTTTAACCTCGGTTATTTTTGGACCTCCCCGCCCCCCCAACCAAAACCCCAATTTTTCTTCAGTCTTCACCGGGCTCTGCCTTTGCCAGGCCGGCATCGCAAATAAGGAATCGTTCTTAATGACTCGCCTGGTTAAATAAAGGTTAAATTAAAAGAAAACAAAAGTAATGTCCAGTGAGTCCAACTTTTAAGTTTCACAGTGAGGCCCGGATCCTGTCCCAGGCATTCTGGGACACAAGTCTGGGCTACACCCTGGATGGGATGCTAGTTCACCAGGGCAGATACAAACACAGAGGCACTATGGGTAATTTAGAAATGGCAATTAGCCTAAGTGCTTGTCTTTGGCTTGTCTTTGGACTTTGGGAAGAAATGCCCAGTGGAAACCCATGCAAACTCCTGACATGCAGAAAATAGCACAAGGCAGGTGTGACCTCCTGCAGGACACAGTAAAATGTCCAGAGTAAAGGAGCGTGGGAGGGACCTGGAGCACTGAGAGGAAAAATCCACAGAGACACAGGGAGTAACATGCATTACTCTGCATACAAAGGGCAGACTGGGAATCCCCATTATTACTCAGCAAGACACCCTCTAATGGGCAATACTGTGTCCCACACATGGCTACGTATTTCGAGACAGAGAGGGAAGGCCGTTCACTTTATTTAATATTCCCTTCAGAGTAAAAATAACTTCTCATTTCTAGGTTAAAAAGTGTTTCTAATATAAAGGCAAAAAGCAGATTAGTGAATGCAGTATATTTAATATATTTATATGATATAAATGATTACATTTCTATTTATTTATATATTTGCACATTTTATACCAGTACAGTGCTGCCATCTACTGTTTATTCAGGTAAACACAATATGTTCTCATACATCCATCCATTTATCCATTCATCCATCCATCTTCTAATGATTTATCCCACACAGGGTCACTGTAAGTCCCGATACAGTATTTTGTACTAACTCACAAGCTCAAAAAAACTATCACTTTAACTGCAAAGGTGATTTTCTCATTAAAATTTAAGCCTTGGTAGTTTATTTAGGTTCTGGTGGTGATTCTTACTTTTTTGAAAATATTAAACCACTTTCAGCTGTGGGCCCTGTTCATCGTATGTGGATAATTCAGTTAGTGAGATACAGGATTTTCCAATCGTTAAGGCAATCTTGGGTTTCATCTATCTATTGTGTTTCATAGTGACCAATGAGATCACAGTGTTCAGGCACACCTCTGGAAATCCTCGCCCCTCAGCGACTCTGTGGGGGGGGTGCTCTTGCTCTTAGTCGAGCATGCCTCTCAAGCAACGAGAGTTTAGAGAGATCATCAAGTCCCCTTAAATCATGGAAGGGTACAATATAGGTTCAGGAAGCAGGGAATATATAATGTTAAATTACTAGGCCTGTATATTCAAAATGTGACATGCAAAACGGAATCTGCTTATTTATCCTGAATTTGTTTGGCAGGCAAAGAGGAATGAATGCTCACCAGAAGGTATTTCATAGGGAGGGGGTTACCTGTACTGCATGTTTTTGGACTGTGGGAAGAAACCAATATGACACAGCAAGGACATGCAAACTCCGCACACCTACACATACACACACACACACACACATTCAAATCAAATATTCATATCTTTGTGGGGACCATCCATTCATTTAAATGGGTATAATCCTAATTCCAACAATGACAACCTTACCCCTTACCCAGCCCTAACCTTAACCATAAGTAACCAAACAAAATACAAGACTTTTGCCATTTTTAGTTTTGGTTTGCAGTCGCAGATTTTTTTTATATAAAATTGAATTTCCCCTTGTGGGGACCGACACAGAGAGTGGGGATAAGAGTTGAACCCCCAACCAAAATGTGAAGCAAGATGTTTCTTCTTCTAAAGATTCTGCTAAACGTCTGGTACCAGACTGGGAAGGAAGTTGAACCATAGCAAAAAAAATTCTATGGTAGAGATGTCTGGATGTTTTTTTGTGCCATGAGTTCACTCTGCATGTCCCCATTTTAGCCATTTAATTCACCTTAAAGCAAAACACCTGAAAGCAATGAAGTAATACGTATCAAACGTTGCAAGAGAACTGTTCGACATCTCCTCAAATTTGACCTCCTCCCGAACAGCCCCCTTTTCCTCCGATGAGAGCTTTACACTAAGGTCTCTAGCTGGTGACGGGCATATTTATTCAGTAAACAGATGAATATGCAGCACAAGAAGTAAATGTGCTCATAATATTTTCTTTCAAAGCACAAGCCCAAAACAAGGTATCTACCTCGTCTTTGCCTCCATATGTCTCCATAACCACATGCATATGCTTAAGTGGGATGGAGTCACTAGCTGTAACTTTCCATTGTGAAACAGAGCAGAAGAGTCATGGTTGAGAGCCCTCTATCTGCTCTCACTGGCTAAATAAGACACTGAACAAAGGGGCTAAACCATTGATTCTTGTTCATGAGATTTTGTTCACAGGCATTTGGGAGGTCAGACACTGACTGGCTCACAATCTCCATTCTAGTTCATCCCAAAGGTGTTTGATGGGGTTGAGGTCAGGGCTCTGTGTGGGCCAGTCAAGTTCTACCACACCAGACTCACCCAACCAGGTCTTCATGGGCCTTGCATTGTCCGCTGGAACAGAAAAGGGCCTTCCCCAAAGTGATGTCACAAAGGTGGAAGAAGAGGATTTCAGATGTTTGGGAAATGCATGATTACGTACGCAAAGCAAAAGACCCTGGGGAAAGCAGCCACACTGCGGAGAATGTAGGCGAATGCACTGGTGTCCACTGCATGAAAAGGGAATCTGTGACTGACATTACAACATGCAGTGCTACTCAGGGGCGTTGCTAGAGATTTTGGGCCCCATGAAAGCATATCATATTAGGCCCCCCAGTCCAAACCAATCCAGTTATTTTCCTAATTTTTTAGGGCCCCTGTCACTCAGGGGCCCTTGGAATCGTCCTAGCTTTCCTCCCCCTTACGGCGCCCCTGGTGCTACTAATTACATCAATGCAGCACAGGGTCATCTAATGTGCAGCAACCCTGGAGTTGAGGGTTAAGGGCCAGGGTTCAAACCAGTGATCTTGAGATTACAGGCACAGAGACGTAGCCCCACTGAGCCACTCACCACATGAACGACTGGGTTCTGTGTGTAAAGGGCTCAGACTCGGGGTCACAGAATCCCCCACTAGCAGGCAGAAAGTGGCCCCATCTCATTTCAACAGATCCACAACCGACAGCTACCTCCTCCAGGGGGAACAGCAACATTTGGGACTGGAAAAGGAGAAGCTGATTAGCGGCTGTCCGACGCGACGGAGCAGTACATACGATAT